ATGCATTCACCACACCACAAACTCACACCGCCGCCTATCGCACCTGCTAATCGGAACTCCTACAACAAATACGGCACAATAACCAGATCGCAAATCAACTGATCATGCAAAACCCTGAAAAACAACATAACCCTTCATAAACATACCAAACACGGGCAAATACATTACAAGGACGACTCTGCAATACTTAAATTTTCCTCATTACATCATAATCTCAACCGTTCAATATTTTAATATTATATCTACGGTCATCCTAATTCCTAAACATGCTGCACGGATGGACCACTTACTAAACTTCACTATCAGAGACTTCACCGTTATAATATGGGAAGGTCCATCATAATTATTGAAACCCACAATAATCTATTAGTCATTATTTGTGGTGCACCATAAACCACATGATAGTATGGTTCACCGTAGAACTAATCTTAAAAATATAGGGGAAATTGTTAAAAATATATTAAGAATGTAAAGTTTACCTTTGACTTCGTCGTAAAAAGAGATACACCTATTCAGACAAAAACAAACTTAAGAATGTGAAGAGTAAAAATTTACAAGATCGATAATTATTCAATATATATATATATATATATATATAGATTAATAAATATAAAGAATTATATATAAATATTTGACTATATAAATTATACATATTTGTCTTCTTTTTCTTCTCTCTTACTCTGGAATATGCCCTTAGCTAACTTTATCATTGAGTAAATACAAGAACTAAAATCCTACACATAAACATTTTTAACATATAAATTATATTTTACATTTATGATAAATATCTCTTATATTGTGATAAGATTATTTTTAATTATTGTTCATTTTTATAAAAGAAATATTAAAATTTATTTAATACTTAAATATGTTTGTAATCCCTGTAAAATGAGTAAGTTTATATTTCAACCCTTATAAAAATTATTTCTCATACTTCTAAATTTTGTAAACATTGTCTTTGATCCTTATAAATATTTTTAATCCTTATAAAATGAATAAATTTTGATTTTAATCCCTCTAAAATCATTATTTTTTATCCATAAGAATGATTTTAAGATATATAAATAATATTTATTTTAATGACCTATAATTTGTTTTAGAAATGTGAAACACTATCATAATATTAACAATTGTAGATAAGATGTAAGAACTAAGATAATCACTTAATCTTTTAATAAATAAATCAACAATTAAGAAAGATTACATAATAATGAGAACTAATAAGAATAATTTAAATATTAAAGGGATGAAAAACAAATAATTTTACTGGTACCAAAATCAAAATTTATTAATTTACAAAGACTAAACATATTTAAACATTTATTTAATTTAAAAATAAATTGGGAAAAAGATAGATTAAAATCTCATTCAAGATAATCTGTTAAAATATTTTGTTACACGATAATTATTCTCATTTATAATAAATAAATGATTACCCTGCTATGCAAGTAAATGATTTAAATCTTAATTTTACTGATTTACAAATCATTGTCCTATTTTTACAACTGATTGATTCTCCGGCAAATCTCTTTTAAAGAAGCTATTTTATTTTTATTCCCCCGTTCTAAAATCAGTTTTTTTTTTTGTTAATAATCAAAGATTAACACAGCTTTTTCTTTAGTGAACAGAGCTAAATCGAGGTAATCAATGACGATTACGGCCTACGGCGGTGAGCCAAAATCCACCATAAACATAAGGCAGATGGCGCACAAGATTATTATTATTATGTGTATATATATATATATATATATATTAAACAAAAATAAATTAAAAACAGATTTAGATGCATGACTTTAATGTTGGGTTCTTACTGCTTTACATTGTGCTATAAGTGAAACAGAATGGGAACAACATTATAGGTTTAATAAAGAAAGCAGAGAACTAAATTCCAAAATTTTAAAAATACGGACCACAAAAGCATTGAACAGTCACTGAGAATAAGGAGAGAACAAAAGATAGACAGAGATGAGGAACATCTGAAGAAATGAAGATGAAAAACAAACAGAAAAAGAAATGGAAGGAAGAAGAAAAAAACTCTTATGGATTTGCTTGCCAGAAAACATTTTGCCAGAAAACATTTCGGAACTCAGGGTGTCATGGTTCAGCACTTCAGCTCGCTGGCGAGGTGACCTTAAGAAGGCTTGGCAGAGTTGTTAGGTAGCAACTTAGCAGCTTTCACAAGAGAAAACACGAGAAAAGAAAAAGAAAGGATAAATTCTGCCATGACCGCAACAAAGCCATAGCCATGAGTCCATGACAGATATCATGGCAGATATGGCGATATAACGGGTAATATGATAACATTGTTTCACTGTATAGGTTTAACCATACGAAAACGTGTCGCCTCGGTTAATAAATTTGTGAATTAACAGTTCATAATACATAAATGATTTAACAGTGGATCAAGACTAGCAAGGAAAAAAGAAAAAGAAAATAGGATGATTCAAAAACTAGGACCCCACACAATCACATACTCAACATCGCAAGAAAAGACAAGGCAGATTTGCCGATAGAATAATTGAAACAAATGGTTTTGTTCCCATTACTCGCTGAATATATATAATGAAGAGAAAAATATATTTAAGTTCACAAATACCAACAAGCTACATAGTACATAAACGGATACAAAATTCAAGCAGGCCAAAATTCACAACTAGGTCATTCCAAATACAACATCAACAAATATTGAATATACTCAAGTATGTTTAAATAGCAAAACCATAATCGTTTAGGATAAAGCAGCCATCATGGAGTGAAACTACCAAAACTACGATGAGGGTTAAAATTCACCATGTCTGTGAGAGCAGTGGCCTACACAGTGGCAGCTTGTTTAGAAACGCTGGAAAGCTTGGATCTCCTCTTGGCCAAACTCTCACTGCGGCGCTCCCTCTGCTCCTTCAACCTGGAGGCAAGAAGTTTCTGATACTCAGCTGCCTCGGATTTTGCCTTTGCGATTCTCTTCTTCTTATCAGCAATCCTTGCCCGCTTTCTTTGCAGTGTCAATGGAGTGACCAGTCGTTGAATCTTAGGAGCTTTGCTCACCTTTTTCCCTGCACACAAAAATCCATTACTGAGACTAGAATTCATAATATACACCCATCCAGTTTTAATTGGAAATTCAAGAAGGACAATCACATATTTTGGTTAAGCCAACTTTACAATTCAAACGGATTTCAATCCACAATCCAGGCTGTCATAAACATCCATGTTTAAATTTTCAAATTTGAATTAGCTGACAGGAGGCTGTTTCTTAACAGGCATCAGTTAAACCAATGTTTCCCAAAGAATGAAGTCAAGCAACCCAAATATCATTTTTTAATCAACGTAATAACATTTAATATACCAAAAGACAGAAGAAACATTTAGAGAAAAACATTACATGTCCATTGCATTGTTAATGCATGGAAACAAAAAACACATTACTAATGGAGACATGCCCCTCATGAACAAAAAAATTAGCTGTTAATGGTATCACAATCAAACTATGGAATTAAATAAAAACTAGCTTATAGGTAGATGATGATGAAAAATAAAACAAAAAGATGACTGTTGAGTTGCAGACAAGTTACAAAATGTGAATGAGCTAAACACCAACCCATTTTCTCATTATGAAATACCCTTCGACCCTTGCCTATTTAATGGCAGGTTGGCTACATCAAATACAAACATATTTACTAGTACGAAGAACTTTACCAGCTTTTGTTGTGAAGGTTCGACGGTATGTGTTGACATACTTCCTCACATCATCTTCCTTAGACAGGTTGAACAGCTTACGAATTTTGGATGCTCTCTTTGGACCCCTCATTCTTGGCTTTTCAACATCAGTCAACCCTGGTAAATCATTTTCACCCTTCTTAACGATTACCAAGTTCAGAACAGAGAGGTCTGGGCTAACAATGCACCCACGGACAGACTTCCTCCTACGCTCCCCATTGCGCCTTCCATATCCACGAAAGCAAGGTGTTCCTGTTCACACAATCAATGCAAAGAGAATTAACAATATCCATCTGGACAATCTTCAAATGGCATCCATCTGCCAGAAAGAAGTTACATATATTACATTATAATCTGGTAAATCAACCCAAATTAAAAATCAAAGCTTCATTACAGTCCTACCTCTGTGGAGCAACAGACGAACACGACCAGGTGTTAGCACTCCCTGCTTCATTGGGAATCCTTGTTTGTCACAACCACCAGTGATTTTGAAGACATATCCTTTAAACTCCTGTTGGTAGAAGAATTGTAGAGTTGAACAGACCAATTATCAATGCTCCCCAAAATATATAAATTAAAACAGACATTTCAAGGTTTCCATCTAAGGAGCATACCTCACCCAGAGCATCTCCGCTGACCTCCTGCGAAATCCTCTTGTCCCAAAATGCTCGACTACAATTTCATGTGGAATATTATAACAGGAAAACAAGTCACACATGATTAGCACATTTAACAGAAGCAACTTGTGTAACAGTAACAGAAGAGCTAAATTCCAATGAACATCAAATCTGATTTATTTTGCATTTCTCCACAAAGGGTTGACCAGTACTTAAACCAACAAAAATGATGTCAGTTGGTCTAACACTTTTCAACCTAGTAAAACTAATACTGCAAGCAAGATTCATGCTGCAGGAAGCTATGCGGGTTTCCAATATGATGTCCAGGAATAGGGATGTGTGCATCAACATTTTTTTTTTCTTAAATATATTCTTCTACTGAACATTTCACAATTTTTTTGTTTTAGTCCCTATAAACATTTTATTTAGTTTTAAACCTTATATTTAACAAAACAATGTGATCTTCGTCGCTCACTAAGGACTACAAACAAAAGCAGGTGAAGCCTAAACCCGTAATAATATATTAAATATAGGGACTAAAAACGAATAAAATTCTTATAAGGACATAAAACCCAAAAAAAGCAATATTGTCATGGACCAAAAACATAAAACATGTTTATCCCTATCCATTTCCTTGTTGTGTGTATCAACATCAGCTGAAAGGAAACTCAGTTCAAGAATATCCCATTAAATCCACTACAACTTCACCACTTTTCTTAAGTTTCCAAGACCCGACCTTTAACCCTACCCATAGCGAGAAGAAAACTCATCACAAAACACTTATATAAGCATTGATAGATGGTAACTAACCACATCAAACACCCGTAACTAACTTGTAAGTGAAGCTAACAACTTGCTAATTGAAACTACCACGAAAACGCAGCGTTTAATACGAAGAAACAAAACACACGCACCACGTAACATTTGAAAAACCAAAAATAAAAAATGCAGATAAATTACAGCTTTTGATCGTCATCGATCTCGAGCTTCTTCTGGCAGCCAGTGGTTGGATTCGCAATGTTAAACTGCACAAAAAAAGAAAAAAAGCGGAAATTGAGAAACCAACACAACGAGATATCGTAGCAATATAATGAAAAATTAGGGTTTGGGAGTGAAACCTTCATGTTGTAGCCTCTTGGTGCGAGCGAACGAAGCAAGGAACTATGCCTCTGTTGAGAGCTTCAAAACTTGAAACGTAAGCACGAAATGAACTAGGGTTTTACCCTGCATCGCCGAGATTTTGGGCCCCAAATGGGCTTCAAAGGCCCAAATCAGTTTCTTTGGGCTTTGATATTCACACACTCTAGTTTTTTATGATTTTTTTATATATATAAAAACATCATTGACAAAAATATCTTACTATATACAAATTACAGGCTTTCTACTATAGTTTTTGAGTTTTTTTTTTTTTTTTTTAATGAAAGTCTTACTTGAAGGTTCATTTTTCCATATAGTTTAACACTATCTGCTTTAGTCTTTTCCAAATAAATCTTAATACCTCATACTTCCTTCAACTATCATATTTCCTATTAATAATTATTAGATTTCTGTGCTACTGAAAATAATTAAAAAAAATAAATATATCAAAAAAAGGAAAATTTTAAATAAAAATATTTTAACAATTATTAATCATCAATAGATTTTTGCAATATTATAAAATAAAGTGCTATTAAAAATATTTTTAAAAAACATATATATCAAAATAACAGAAAAAAATTAGATACAAATATTTTAATAATTATTAATTATTAGTAGAATTTCATAATACTATAAAATAAACTGAATATAATTAAAATAAATAAATATATCAAAAAAAATATTAAAATAAAAGGTAAAATTTAGATAAAATTATTTTAATAATTAATCATTATTAAATTTCACAATATTATAAAATAATTAAACAAATAAATATACCAAAATAAAAGAAAAAAGTTGGAAAATAATATTTTAATAGTTACTAATCATTATTAGATTTCTATAATATTATAAAATATACTGCTGTTGAAAATAATTACAAAAATAAACGTATCAAAATAAAATAAAATATTTTAATAATTACTTATCATTAATATAAAAAAAAATAATTAACTGATTTGTAATCGTTATAACTAAGGCAAAACAAATAAAAGCAAAAATTATTATAATCGTTATCAAAACAAATAATTAAGGTATTAACTAATCCCTTTAATAAAATATTAAATGTACTTATAACTCCGGAAAAAAAAATAAAAAAATATTAAAAAATCACTTGACAAAAACAATAACCCATATACTTATAATCAATAAATCAAAAACAATATTAACAAATATTGAAATTCTTAAATGACAAAAATTATAAAAAAATTGAAACACTTTTGTAACGATCTAGTAATAATGCAACGAAAAATATAAAGTAATCAACTACAATATGTTTCTCATGAAACAATACTTGAATTTTATGTAATAGATATAAGTATAAGGTACAGAAAATGTAAAACAATTATTGCCAATAAAACTAGAAAACATAAAATCCTTTATGGGATTACATATATATCATATACAAATATACAATATACATCCAATATACACTACTGAATACAAAATAATCCTATTGTCAGTCAAATGTCTCTCTATACAAGTACTATATCATAATAATACACCCAGAATCAGGTTATCTTTAGCATGAACATCTACCAAACAAAGCCTTCAACCTAATCTTGTCTTGCTCTTATACCAAATATGATCATTCTAATACAACAATATGGAAAAATAAGGGTAAACTTGTGAAAAAAAAATAACATAATAATATCATAACGAAGCAACAAATTTCAGCAAAATTTGCTTAATCCAACCGATGCATTTCATGTCACTAATTTTGCATCCAATATTTAATAATTCATGTTTTACATCAAAATTTCACAATTCAACCATTGAATTAAAAATTCTTAATACATAGATTATGTCTGCAAAGTTTTTAAAAAGTTGAAAATATTTAATACTCTATGTCATTAGTTCAAATTAACGTATAAAATATTTTTCTAATTATCTGTTAATTTGAACTAATGAAATGAAATATCAAATAATTTTTTTTTTAAAATTTTGCAGACTTGTTTTATACATTAAGAACTTTTAATTCAACAATTGAATCATTAAAATCTATTGTAAAATATGAATTATTGAATAGAATAAGTCTAATTAAAACAAGTGGACACCTTCTCTTTATATATAGACATACACTTCAAGTGATATCCACACCCTCTCCCCCTTTTTCTTTACCTAGCTGGCCTATTTCATAAAGGCAATATAAAGGCAAAGACTTCATAAAAGGGTTAATATTGATTGTCTCTAGGAGTGATCACCGGTTTGGATAGACCCATAAATTCAACCAATTCAAAAAATTTCATTATTATTTAATTATATGTTGTCATATGATTAAAAAAATTAATTTTATAATAATTATTCTAAAATTATATTTAAAATAATTTTAATTTATTGATAATATAAAAGAAATTATACAGAAAAATGCTAAAATTAAACTTAAGCAAATACCAAATGAAAAGAAAAAAAAATAATCTGTAAATTCACGGATGCATAGACTTGCAACTTGTTTACTATCAAAGCGTGTCCAGTCCATCGAAAATTCTCAATCATGGAAGTTTGTTATCTCTGATTGGTTTATTTAGTGTAGACTAGTCATGCAAAAAAATGTTGACAAAGTGGAGCACTAAAATTCATGAAACAAAATGAAAGTACGAAAGCAATTAATAATAGCTAACCATAAGTCATTGCATTTTCACTGTAAAACTAAAACTAAAAAAATGTATTTATTATGAATTTTAATTGTGTTAAAATAAATATTTATCTGCACAATGAATCAAATTTTAGTTTGCAAAACATTGCATGATTTATATAAAAAAAGAATCTCAATGAACATATGATCCAACAAGTTGATTCTAGCTAGTCATGACTTCTCCTCTGTCTACCTTTCTCCTTTGTTCAATGATTCTGCTACACATCTTTGTTGTAGTCTAAACTAGAAGCAACAAAATCATTAAAGAAACTATCAAATCCTCATGGGTGGCTTCACCTTCTAGTGACATAGCCCAAACCGGAAGCAACATAATCATTGGTGATTCTCTTCATGCAGAAACAACTAGCAATAACTTTTCATCATGGGTGGTTTCACCTCTTGGTGACTTTGCCTTTGGGTTTCTCCCACTTAAGGACACCAACCATTTCATGCTTTCCATTTGGTATGCTAAAATTCTTGATAAAACTGTTCTTTGGTATGCCAATGGAGACACTCCTGCACCAAAGGGGTCAAAGGTTGAACTCACTTCTAATGATGGGTTAGTGTTCACTACCCCAAATGGAGATCAGTTGTGGAAAAGTGAGTCCTTTAATGGCAAAGTTGCACATGGTTTCTTAAAGGACATTGGCAACTTTGTGCTTGTGGATGAAAACCATGAGGGTGTGTGGGAGACTTTCAAGGATCCAAGGGACACCTTGTTGCCCTCACAAACTCTTGAAAAGGATGAGAAGCTTTCTTCTAGGTTTCTAGAGTCAAATTTCTCCAAGGGAAGGTTTAAGCTTCTTTTTCAAATGGATGGTATTATTTCCATTCATGCTTTAAACTCACCCTGAGTATGCCAATGAAAACTACTATGAAACTAAGACTAAAGTGTAATACATCAAGTCTTGGAATTCAGTTGGTGTTTGAACCATCAAGGTATGTGTATGTTTTAAGGAAGAACAATGAGAAATATAACTTGTCAACATGGAGTGGAGCCTCCACTAATGAGTCTTACTTTAGAGCGACTTTTAATTTTGATAGGGTGCTTATTCTCTATCAGCTTGCAAATAGTTCCTTTGGGAGTGATGGTTGGAGTCCTATTTGGTCTCAACCAGATAACATTTGTGTCAGCAGGGTTTCTACTAAAGGTAGTGGTGTTTGTGGGTTTAATAGTGTTTGCACATTGGGAGATGATCAAAGGCCAATTTGCCAATGCCCAAAATGGTACTCTTTGGTTGACACTAATGACCCCAATGGTAGCTGCAAGTCAGACTTCATACAAGGATACGTAGAAGATGAGCTTATTAGGAGGAAAGAAGATGTTGATGAATATGATTTTGAGGTGATGATAAACACAAATTGGCCTCTTTTAGATTATGTTCTTCTTAAGCCTTTTACTGAGGAACAATGTAAAAAGTCATGTTTGGAAGATTGTATAAGTGTAGTTACCATTTTCAGATCAAGTAATGGCTTCTTCAAGAAGAAGTTACCTCTTTCAAATGGTAAAGTTGATGTTGGACTTAATGTTGCCAAGACCTTCATCAAAGTGTGGAAGGATAATTTCTCTTTGGTTGTTCCATAAGCCAAAGTGAATGAGAATAGTAAGAGCACTTTCAATTTGGTTACATGGGTCCTTTTTGGTAGCTCTTCATTTCTCAATGTCATGTTTATTGGAGCCTCATGCATGAACCTTCTTTTCATTTTTCAGTACAAGAAAAAGCTTAGAGGGATTGGGAAAAGTGACAATGCCCTTGAGACTAACTTGTGTCGCTTCAGTTATGAGGAGCTTGAAAGAGCTACCAATGGTTTCCAAAAAAAGTTAGGAAGGGGGTCTTTTGGTGTTATTTTTGAAGGATTCATAAATATAGGCTCAAAAATTCCAATATCAATGAAAAAATTGAACACTTTGCTTTTGCAATAGGTTGATAAGGAGTTCAAGAATGAGTTACATGTCAATGGCCTCACTCATTACAAGAACATGGTTCGGTTGATAACATATTGTGAGGTTGAAGCAGAAAGATTATTGGTTTGAGTACATGAGCAATGGCACTTTGGCAAGTCTTTTTTTCAATGAGGTGAAACTTGATTGGAAACTAAGGTTAGAAATTGCATTTGGGGTTGCTAGAGGACTTGCATATTTGCATGAAGAGTGCATCACCCTGATTATCCATTGTGACATAAAGCCTCAAGACATACTCCTTGATGTGTACTATAATGCAAGAATTTCTGACTTTGGATTGGCCAAGCTTTTGAAGATGAACCAAAGTAGAACCAACATTGCCATAAGCGGGACTGTAACCCTCTTTCCAAATTACATATGCTAATCATAACTAATTATTTTTTGTTATTAATATTTATATTGTTATGGATAATATGTAGAAAAGATACTAAAACAAAAGAAAACATTTATCTAATTAAAATTTTATTCAATAAAAGTCACTAGATATTACAA